GCCTAGGGAAGGAACCAGAGTTATTGTTGCTGGTCTTGGGCTAATTGTTGTTACTACTGGGGCTGGGCTTGTTGTTGGATGAGGACAAGCCCTGGTATGGCTCACTGGATTTCTTCCTTGTGCTCCCAATACCACACATCTATCTCCTGCACTAAGTGTCAGAGCTTGCAGAGAGTCTGGGGTTTTCCAACCTGGCAGACTTCATCCTTGATCCAGTCTGGGAGCCCAGAGTAGAAGTGGTGGCTGTCAAGTCCAGGCCTACTCTGACCAACTCTGACACTTAATAAGGTCTGGAGAGAGGTACAGAAACAAGTCTGACACAGAAGAACTGAACTCTGACTGGTGGAGTGTTTGGCAGGAACAAAGTCCACTGAGGCAAAGGCAGAGTGGAGTGAGGGCATCAGGTTTAGCTCATGCACTACCCCCTTGCATGATCTCAACCCTTGTATTTCAGAGGTAGAGATCAGATGGATAGTCAGAGGTAGCTCTAACAGGCAGAAGACAGAGACAGAGAGAGTAGGAACTAAGTCAATATTTGTACTGAAGAACAGTGGAGTACAGTACATGCTTTTATACTACTACAGAGACACAGTGTTCAGAATCAGAACTGACATATGGAGACTTGTAAATTTTCAAGTGAAAACTTCCTAGACAATGAATGAAGGGAAGGCAGAAAACATACAATGGGTAACACAGAACAAACAAAAAAGGAAACAGTCTAGGCACTGGACCATGCAGTGCATGTGCTGCAGAGTACCTGGCTGCATGCTGTCAAGGAGAAGTCCAAAGAGAGGTCACATGACCTCTTAGAGGACAGTCTGTGTGGTCCAACAGTGGCTGGCCCCAAGTCTGACAGCAGTCAGGTTGGAGAAGGCTCATAAGTGACAGACAGGCAGGTGGAGTTGGTGCAGAGTGAGTAAATGACCAGCAGGAGGAGGGTGCAGAGTGAGTGAGGACCTAGGATAAACACATGGTCATGACAGTGCCCCCCCCTCAGGGCCTGAACCCCTGAAGGCCACATGTTTGGAACAAGATCAACATGAGTTGATCATTTTGAAATTGTTTGATGCCTTGAGGACAATGGCTTTAGCCACAGTGGAGCTCCATTGGAGTTTGAAGAACCACTTAAAAACACATGTTAGGGCTCTGAGCCCCCATGTTACTGTTCTCTCATCATGTCCTCCCAGTGCCAAAGCAAAATCCCCCAACCCACCCCTGGACACTCCCACAACTACACACAGGTTGCAGATGATGAGCTAGTCATCCTTACTGACAACTCAACAGACACCAAAAGGGAGAAGGCCATGGAGAAGGCCCATTGGTGAGAGGAGGTGGAGAAGAGAGCATGAGGCAGAATGAAAGGCCAAGTGCAAAGAGGCCAAGAGGTGGAAAGCGGAGGAGGAACAGCTAGAGGTGGAGTGCAAGTGGAGGGAGGAGGAAGAGGCTCAGAGGAAGGAAGTAGCTGAGGAGGAGGAGCAGAGGAAGAAGGTGGCAGAGGAAGAGGCTGTGCACCAGTGACAGAGGGAGTCCACAGAGTGGGCTCAGGCCAAGCAGGGTGAGGCCATGCAAAGGTGAGGCCATGCAAAGGTGAGTGACAGAGTACTGCAAGTCAGGTGGAACTGACTCATAGCCTTTTACTTTTATTTTTTAGGTTATGCAGTGCAGTTTACAATGTGAACACTGCCTAGAGGGTCCCTGGGACCTCTGTGGTGGTCACTGAGACCAGGAAGGCCCCGTGCACTTGCTGCATAGCAGCTCAATGGTGGGCCAGTGTGAATAGGGGTCAGGGAAGACCAGGGCCTGCATGCCCTGTCAAAACAAAAAGAAGGTATGTAGTTGGGTGAAGGAGGACTTAGTGGCAGGGCCATCATGTAAAAGAGCAGGGACAGGGAGTTCCCAAGGGGAGAAAAGAAGAAAAGGGCATGAGGGAGGGGAAAGGGGAAAGTGACGGAGCCAGAGGAGGCAGACAACAAGCAGGAGGCAGGTGAAGAGGAGGAGGAGGAGCTGGCAACACTGCATGAGGGCCCCTCAGGGGCAGGGGTACACATGCAGTGGGCAGAGCAGGAATGGGAGTGGCAGCTACAGGCTGCAGAGAGGCATGCAGAGGTGCATGAGAGGGCTGTGCTAGCCTTCAAGAGGTTGGCAGCAGCAGTGGAGTGGATGGCAGAGGCTGCAGAGCAGACAGCCAATGAATGGGGAACATACCACACCTGGGCAGAATGGGCAGAGATGAGGAGGAGGCAGGGTGCACACAAGGCCAGGATGGCCAAACTTGAGTGCATAGGAGAAGGTTGGAAGAGGCTGCAGTGGAGGCAGTGGAGGACAAGAACAAGGAGGCAGATGAAGGTGTGGAGGGGGATAACAAGGAAGAGGAGGAAGTCAGAGGAGGACAGGGAGGTAGTGAAGGACATGAGGATGGTGGAGAACAGGTGATGGAGGAGTAGAGTCAGCTGTATCAGCTGATTTTGACCAAATGACCAAGGTAATTACCACAAAGGCAGTTACAGAATTCATGGCAACTACCACTTCACAAATATAGACAATGCTCCCTGAGCAACAACCTCTGTTGGTGTTTGAAAAAAAAATTCAGATTGGAATGTTCCCATGGTTGGTTACCCTGTCACAAATATTGATAACTTGCACCTGTACTGTAGCTATACAGATGAGCATGTGACCAGTAGATGTGATGGTCACATGATGAGTGACATAAGCAGAGATGACCCTAGATCACATGATTGTTGCATAATGGTGATTCCTGTGGGGTGTTCTATTACATGACATGTCATGTGATCATGGGAAAATATGCATGTGACTTAATCAATGTCACATGGCAAGGTACAATCATAGATCATGTAACCTATTACATAATGATCACATGACTGTGTGACAATAGACATGTGACTGCACCCATCATGTGATCACACCTCTAGCACTCTGCATGTGACTCAATCCATATCACATGACCAGCAATGCCACCCCTATTGCATGCTGAGCATTTGTGGCTGTGCCAAAAATGCAAATTGTGTCCCCCACCCATTCAATCCTTGACATATGGATCTGAGTTTTTGTGTGTAGAATAGGCTACCATGTTGCTACACATTGTCAAAAGCACAGGTTGTCTTGTCCAGCACTTGCTGAGATATAATGGAAATGAAAATGCCAACAAAACATCATACCATTCATCTTACACATCCTTCATACCACATCTGACACTTCAGGAGGGTTGAAGAGGAATCCTTCAATGCATTTCCAAAGTTTCATGTTTATCCATTTAGAATTGAGTGAACAGCAAGCCAAATACTGATCCAGAAGTGTGGGAAAACTTCAAAAAGAGAAAATAAAATAGTGGAGACTTTGAAAACATATCAAAAACATAGCACAGCACATCCCACAGTGCACCTACCATTACCAGAACTTAGGTCAGGGATATTGGGACATGGTGGAAGATATTGGTAACAAGTGCCTGATGTGATACCTACTGCAAATGGTAAAAAATGCGAAATGGTACACAACTCATTAAGACAATGGGAGATTTATGCCATTACAAGGTCAACACCACTACACCATTGCACACATTTCGCAATTTTGACATGTTTAAGTGGATATCTCACCAGGCACATGGTACCAACATGGTAGGCCATATTGCTGCATTCCTCACCCAAAGTCTGGGGTTGGCAGGGTCACTGTGATGTGTGCAAATCCACATTTTTGATATGTTATCAAAATCTCCATATGTTATTTTTGGGACTATTTCCCATTTTTCCACACTATTGAATCTTTATTTTGCATCTTGCTCTCTCAGATCTGAATGGGGTGACACCAAACTTTGGCTGTGAATTGATATGCATGTGTCCAACCCTTCTGAAGTGTCAGATATGGCATGAAGGATGTGTAAGATGAATGGTATGATGTTTTGTTGGCATTTTCATTTCCATTATATCTCAGCAAGTGCTGGACAAGACAACCTGTGCTTTTGACAATGTGTAGCAACATGGTAGCCTATTCTACACACAAAAACTCAGATCCATATGTCAAGGATTGAATGGGTGGGGGACACAATTTGCATTTTTGGCACAGCCACAAATGCTCAGCATGCAAATAGGGGTGGCATTGCTGGTCATGTGATATGGATTGAGTCACATGCAGAGTGCTAGAGGTGTGATCACATGATGGGTGCAGTCACATGTCTATTGTCACACAGTCATGTGATCATTATGTAATAGGTTACATGATCTATGATTGTACCTTGCCATGTGACATTGATTAAGTCACATGCATATTTTCCCATGATCACATGACATGTCATGTAATAGAACACCCCACAGAATCACCATTATGCAACAATCATGTGATCTAGGGTCATCTCTGCTTATGTCACTCATCATGTGACCATCACATCTACTGGTCACATGCTCATCTGTATAGCTACAGTACAGGTGCAAGTTATCAATATTTGTGACAGGGTAACCAACCATGGGAACATTCCAATCTGAATTTTTTTTTCAAACACCAACAGAGGTTGTTGCTCAGGGGCATTGTCTATATTTGTGAAGTGGTAGTTGCCATGAATTCTGTAACTGCTTTTGTGGTAACTACCACATTGCTCAGTCAAAATCAGCAGACTCTGGTGGTAGAGTAGTTCTTTTTTCTTTTTTTGTGTCTTTGTCTTTAGTTCATATTTTTGTAAGATACACCTCATGCACAACCAGCAAATGTCATGTGCCAAAATGTGATAAAGTGTGACAAAACAGTAAATTCACTAAGGATCATAAGAGGGACCATAGTATCAGAAAATAAAATGGAGGCATTGTTATTTAGTTACATTACTACAGTTCCTCCATTTCCAAATGTTGAGAAAATAGTCATGTGAGTTAAGAATAAGATGCTGAGGGCTGAAAGTGCAAAATTAACATAGAATGAATCCTTATGAGGGCCATTAACAGAGGGAATCAATGGCATGTCACCAATGACATGTTTACCAGCATTTTGTAGCTTCCTACATGCCCAGATGGGCAAGGTTGGTCTGCTCAGCCCTTAGAAACCTTGGGAGCTGGGCAAAGAGAGGCAGGCACAAGCAGTCCAGCAAAGAGAACATTGTCAGTTGAATCACACACTGGGAGGACCATTCATGGAGCTCACCACCACTTCTAGCCCCCCAGCAGCTGCTCCTCTCAACCCATCACCCCATCTCATGATGCAAGCAAATGCTCTGGTACCACATTACAAATTTGTCCCATGACTACAGCTTGTTTGGCTGAGCATGTGCAAGTTCCCAATCATGGGTGTGCTGCACTTTCACCTGTTGTAAACAATGCAATTATATCATTGCATCCAATGGCATACGAAGGAAATGCCAATGAGTGGTGCACAGCAACTTTGACTGACCATGACTTCTTGCCAAGCTCCAAAGGAGATTTGATCTTTAAATCAGACCAACAACTGGATATGGCCTGGGGGATGCCTCCAGGTGAGCTTGGTTTATGAGGGTCTAGTGAGGAATCAGATGGTGACAGCCTTAGTTGTCAATCAGAACAACTGTCACTGGACAGAGCTGGTGGTAGCCTCCCCTTTGAACCAGCTGCTGAGGGCTACAAGGACTTTCAGATGCATGCACAGGCTATGCTTGCTGGAACTAGGAACATGACAGTCAAAGAGGAAGATGATGCAGAACTGGCAGCATCCACCTACAGCTCCATGGCACACTTTGCCATTGAGCCTTCTCCACTGTCCATAACCACATCTACACTGCATAGATGACATCAGTCCTTTGATGTTCATCAACCCCCATCTGTTGAGGAAGCTAAACTTGCCATCAGCAATCTCAATTTATTACTCCATCCACCTTGCAATTGAGGCCATGGTTATAAAACAACTGGACTTCCTTCCATACTTGAAAAACACCTCACATGGATGCTCTACCTTCTTTTGGCCTTTGTGGATGGGTTAGAGTGGGGTCCAGCTGCACTAATGACAGCACAGTTTGTAGGCAAGGGACTATATATCTCTTGAAAAGTGCAGGAGTGGTCCAGGGCCTATATTGCTGATCACAGGAACTTGCCATTGGTCAAGTATGGTGGGGCATGGACCAAATCATGCATCCAGGATGAGGACTTGCAGGAAGCACTACTCCTCCATCTTCAGAGCTTGGGAAAATATGTGGCAGCATCAGCTGTTGTCACTTATTTGGATTGCCCTGAAGTTCAAGTATGCTACAGACTTACCAAAACCATCTCACTCACTACAGCACAACACTGGATGAATGAGGTTGGGTATTGATGGGGGAAGGATCCAAAGGGCCAGTATGTTGATGGCCATGAACATGAAGATGTTATCTTCTACTGCCAGAATACATTCATCCCAGCTTGGTATGAAATTGATGCCAATACCAGGAGGTGGTCATCAACCAATCCACTCCAGTGTGAAGATGAGGAGATGGGCACAGCATGGAAAACTGTTGTTTGGTGCCATGATGAATCAACCTTCTATGCCCATGATTGCTGCAAAGCCCATTGGGTGTCAAAAGATGCCAAGGCTCTCCCACAGCAAAAGGGAGAAGGCTTGTCCCTGATGGTGGCTGACTTTGTTTTGGCTCACTATGGATGGCTGCATTCACATGATGGAAAAGAAGCTGCTCGGGTGTTGTTTAGAGTGGGAAAGGGGCAAGATGGTTACTTCACCAATGATGAAATTCTCAAGCAAGTGAAGAAAGCAATGACAATCCTGGAAAAAGATTACCTGGATGACAATCATGTTTTCATCTTTGATAATGCAACCACTCACTTGAAGCAGGTAGATGATGCCTTATCAGCTCATTATATGCCAAAGTCATGCTGACAATGGGGAATTGAGATTAACATGAAGGACATTGAGGGTAAATTGGTCTATGGTGCTGATGGAAAGCCAAAAAAAAAAAAAGATCCCTATGAAGGATGGGACATTTGCAGATGGGTCACCACAGGAGTTCTATTACCCACTGGATCACACAATGGCAGGGTTTTTCAAGGGGATGGCCACCATTCTTGAAGAATGTGGTTTTGATGTATCCAACCTGAAAGCATAGTGCCATAACTCAAAACCTTTTTGACTGTGTGGCTGGTGCTACTGCCTGCTGTTGCCAACAGATCCTCTATAATGAACCTGATTTTGTTACTGTGAAGTCATTGCTGGAACAAACATGTGAGGACAGGGGGTATCAGGTTTTGTTTCTGCCAAAATTCCACTGCAAGCTCAACTTCATTGAGCAGTGTTGGGGTTATGCTAAATGGCTTTACCATTGCTACCCACCCTCCTCAAAAGAGACAGACCTTGAACGTAATGTGATTAATGCTCTCAATGCTGTCCCATTAGCAATGATGCAGAAGTATGTGACCACTTGCATGCAAATATTTGGAACTTATGTAATACTCAGGTTTGCCATCTGCTGTCATCATTTCATTGATGCATATGACAATGGCTTAAATGGGGCACAGGCAGCATGGGCAGCAAAGAAGTATTGAGGGCACAGAATTCTTCCAGACACACTAATGGCTGATCTTGATGATGCAAAAGCCAAAGGAAATGGCAAAGAGCTTAGATAATCTTGTGGTCAAAATCACTGTACTTGAGTGCATAATGACCTGCAAGCCATGGCTGAGTTCCCAAAATGGAAGTTTGCATGGTCTGGTCCAGCAAGAAGCATGTGTCACAAGCAAGTCACATCACATCACATTTGCTGGTTGTGCATGAGGTGTATCTTACTACTATGAAATAGACTCATGATTTTTGTTTTACTTTGTGACTCTGAGAAGTGAGGTGGACAAGCAGAGAAAACTCCAAGGTACTTAAGGTAGTTTGGTAAGGGGTGGAGTCAGCCCACAGAGGAGGACTGTATGGGCAGAGTACTATGGCAGAGGTTGGTATGGGCCAGGTTTGTGCAGATAGCATTCATGGAAAGTGGAGATGATGTTGGAAGCATGATCTAGCTCAGTTGCAAGCAACCAAGACATTTCTTCATCAGTGTTCTCATAACCAGCCAAGTGGACCAGGTATAAGACTTGGCAGTGTCAGTGATGGCAGTCCACCTTAGAGTTGAGTATCTCTGACACTTCATACTCAAGGTCACCATTGACATCAACTGGCAGAGGCAGAGGTTGCTGTCAGTTTGGGAAAGGGTTAGCTGCTGCAGTTTCCAGTTGCAAGACATGGAAGACCAGGTGTACCAAGTGCATAGAGTCAGGGAGCTTAAGGGTGACAGAGTGCATACCTGGCCTGGCCAAGATGGTGAACAGACCTAAGTACTTTTTGGAGAGTTTTTCTGAGGGACAAGTGGAGTGGAAGTACTTGGCTTTGATGTAGGCCTGTTCTCTGACCTTGAACTCAGGCAGAGGTGTGTGTTTGGCATCTGCTGGACCCTGGTAGTGCTGCTGAGTGGTGGACATTTTGGAGTGGAAGAAGTCATGAAGGTTGGAGAGCTTGATGCATAGTCAGGAACCCACAGAAAGGTGAAGTCTTGGTCAGGGACCACAGACAGGTTTGGATGGTACCCCTTGTTGGTGAAGAAAGGGGAAACTCCAGTAGTTGCACTTGGTTTGTTGTTAAAAGCAAACTCCACAAGGGGTAAGAGCTCAGCCCAGTTGTCCTGTTGGTAGTTACAATAGATGTGCAGGTACTGCTTGAGTGTCTGGCTCATCCACTTGGTCTGGCCATCACCTTCTGGGTGGCAACCCAAGGTGAAGTGAAGACATATGTCAAGGGCCTTTCCTAGGGAGTGGAAGAAGTGGGAGACAAACTTGGGACCTCTGTTGGAGGTGACATTAGCAGGTACCCTGTGCTTGGAGAAGACATGAGTAAGGAAGAGCTTAGCAAGTTTGGTGGAGGTGACAGAGTCATGGGTGGGGATGAACACTGCTTGCTTTGAGAGGCAGTCCACTACCATGAGGATGGTGGAGTAACCATCAGAGTTGGGGAGGTTTTTGATGAAGTCCATGGAGATGGAGTTCCAAGGTCTCTCTGGGACAGGGAGTTGCTTCAGCAGACCATAGGGGTGGTGACATGGAGTTTTGCTCTGTCCACAGGTGGTGCTGGACCTGACATATTCTTTCATGTCAGAGCAGAGGTTAGGCCACACATAGTCTCTGCAAACAAGTTCCAGGGTGTGGTTTTGCCTCAAATGGCCTGCTAGAGGGTGGTCATGCTTGAACCAAAGCACTCAGAGGCAGAGGTCATCAATGTCAGGGACAAAGATGTGATCATCAAGGTGGAGGAGACTGTTGGAGTCCAAAGACCACTGAGGCTTGATTGGATTTGGGAGATGGCTGGTGGAGACAGGGTCAGAGGGTAGGGCAGAGGTGATGTCAGAGTGCAAGCACTCAACATTGAAGACCATGGCAGTGTGGAGCACCTTCTGCAGCTCCATACCATCAGTGAACCACTTCCAAACTTAACTGTACCCTTGACCTCTCTAGCAATTAGCCCTTCACTCTTCTTTTTCCACACATACTCTTGCCCATCTGACCCAGTCCTATGTATTTAGGTCTCATCTGACCATATAACTCTCATCCAGTCCTCCACAGTCCAATTCTGGTACTTGAGAGCAACAGCTAGCCTTCTCTTCTTGTGTCCATTAGAAAGCAAGAGCTTCTTTTTCTTGACCACACCCTTTACAGAGGCTTCCTTGAGGCTATTTCTAACAGTCTGTGGCAGACAGGAGTATCAATAAGAGAATTGATGAATTGAATGGCATGGACAGCATTTTTGGCCTTGCCAGTAATGATTTGCTGAACAATAGCCCGTTTGTTGGTGGGGGTAAGCTTTAATGGATGGCCACCACAAAGCCTAGTCCTCTCTGGCTAGAGTTTCTGAAGGACCTGGCATACTGTAGACTGCCCTAAGCCAGTTTTGGAAGCAATTTTCCTGGTGGAAAGATCAAGAGAGGAGAGAGATATGCTGCTCTTTCTTTGAGATCCAGAGATGGGTTTTATAGTGATGGTGGGGTTTATTTATAGTGTCTGACACTCAATTACATAAAGGTAACATAATAGAATCATTACCAAATGTATGTACTAACATCACAGTATGCCAGGGTCTAATATATGTAATTGAAACCTAAAGTCAAAAAACTGACCACATGAGTCATCATTTTGAAATGGCTGCCATTTGATCAAACCTTATCCAAAACCCTTGACCCCTGCACAAATAGAGAGCCAATGGTAAGGGCTTTGTTTCATACACTTATAGGTTAGGGCCTAGGTTAGGGGATATGGGGCAGTATTGACTTTAGTGAAAAATGTCCAAACATGCAGTCAGTTTTTTGAGCCACTGTATGAGTTCCAAGGCAAGCACAGTAGAGAATGGGGTGGAGAATATCCTTTGTGTGAAGAACATGCTGTGGTACAGGAACATAGATCAAGAGCTAGAAATCATGGATTTCCAGCATATCCTTGACACCATACATCTTATTTAGACTGACATTCAGGATGCAGCTGCATGCTTGTAAGTATTTGAAGTTTCAGCCAATATTTTTCCTATCAACAACACTTCAAGTCTTGCCATCACACCAACATCAATCTAAACTTCAAATTTCATCTTCACATTTTTGACAACCTTTAAACCTGGCCTAAACTCTGCTAACTGTGTTGTGAGACCATGTTGGAGTGAAACAACCCCTGTCCATGTGTATGGACATAGGCACATGAGCACATTGCTTACATAAGCCATTAGAACACACACCTACACTAGTAAATTTTACCTAGTCCCTCAGTAGCTTGACTGACTACTGAGGGTGAGTACACTTCTAACAAAGGTGTAAGTTCTCAGTGTACAGAGTAGTTACTGAGGTGGAAAAGAATGGTGTGGAAAATTTATAGTACCATAATTAGTAAGCATAGTGACATTGGAATTTAATTCTGAGGATTGGGGAGAAATTCCAAGCCCTCTGGGTGAAACTCCAAGAGGCTACCATAACTCTGGAATGTATTCTTGACACTCCCCCTCAATTGGAACAAAGTCCAAGTGCAGATGCAAAGTGTTTTGCCTTGATGCTTGGTAAGGGTTTGGTAAGGGTATTGGTGACCATGTCATCAGCAGGACAATAAATTAAATGAAAGGAGTGATTTTCCACAGCAAAATGAATGAAATAGTATTGTATATCAATGTGCTTGGTGTGAGCATGGTAGCTGCCATCCTTGGTGAGTGTGATGGTGGATTGACTGTTGGAATACAATGGAATGGGGTATTTGAGTGGTCAGAAAACTTCCCCAATGAGTTGTTGAAGCCACAAGCCCTCTTTGGCTGTGTGAGTCACTGCAACATACTCTGCTTCAGCAGTTAAGAGTGTTACAAGTTCTTGTTTCCCCAAAGCCCAATGAATAGCTCCTCCATCCAGTAGATATGCATATCCACTGATAGCCCATCAATGCTCCTGAAAAGCTCCATCTGCATCAGTATAGCCCTCAAGGCCTCATTCTGTATTTCTGAATGTCAAAGTGAGTGCTTTTGTGCCTGCAATATACCTGTAGATTCATTTTACAGCTTCCCAGTGAGTCATGTTGGGCACATTATTGAACTGTGCAACTGTGGAGACAGCAAATGCAATGTCTGGGTGCATTCCAACAGTGAGGTGCATGAGGGAGCCTATAGCAGCACAGTAGGGTATGTTTTTCATGTGTGCAGCTTCTTCAGCTGACTGCAGAATTTCTCTGCAAGAGGGTTTTATTCTGGGGTCCATCAGAATTGCAACAGGCTTGCAGTCAGCAAGGTTATATTTCATCAGAATGGCTTCAATGTAGGACTTCTGGGATAGCAATATGGTGTGGGCTTCTCTATTCCATGTCACCTTCATCCCAAGTAGCCAACTGATGGGCCCTAGGTCAGAGATTTTAAAATGAGTGCTGATCTCCTGTTTAAATGAGTGAATTAACAATGGGGAACTGCCTGTTACAGTGCAGTCATCAATATAGCTTGTGAGAATAAGGATTTCTAATCCAATGCAACCATAAAATACTCCCCAGTCTGCATGAGCTCTAGTAAGCCCAAGATCTGCTAGG